GGGGGGGGGGGGTGCTCTCCATCCGGCACTTCATCTCACATTCCACACACACATTGGCCCATTTGACTCGTTAAATTTTAATATTTATATATTCGTTTTACTGACAAGAGCTTCTAATGCTTTTGTGGCAGTTCTGTTTGTTTGTAGGTTTTAGGAAAAGGGTCCTATGCCCATTTTTTTTTTATTTATATTAAATTATTATACCGACTCCCCTCCCCCCCAGACTTTTGACAGGGTTGAGCATTAAAATTTTGCTTCCTGTTACTCATAGTTTCTGCAGTCACGTCATGGGCACACTGACCCAGTGTCCTGTAGTCTCCAAACTCCTGTAGGCGGAGTTTAGTAATCTTTTTGTCACAGGCTTTAGCGGTGGGGGGTGTCATCTTTCCCCAGATGCATCAGTGTTCAGCTGCAGAATTTATCAGAATAAATTTACACATTTCCTCAGCCTGCATGTAGTACAATGTCGACCTATGCAGGTGTTTTTGCATCAACCTTTTCAAGTAATTGTGGGTGAATGATGAAAAATGAACAAATTGACTAATTATCAGTGTTGTTTTTGCTTCTTTGACGCAACTAGATGGTAGTAGACTTTTATTTCTATATTTAAGTGAGCCCTGATTGTTTTTTTTTCCCAACATTTATCGTCATCATGAGTAATACTCCACATCCCCGGCCCTCTCTGTTCTCACCGTGGCATTTTTGTTTCTGTGCGATCGCCTTGTTTTCCATTCATCCGCCATCGATTTCACTGGTTGTCCGTGTCCCAGCCTAGTGCAGTGGATCCCTCACCCTTGTGTACGTGTGTGACTTTAAACGTGCCAGGTGCGCAGATGAGAGGATGTGAGGAAAAGCCCTTCGGGGTGCGCGGTGTGAAAGGTGCACGTGCTGGGGACTGCGGAGTAAGTGGGAGTGCACGGTCGCTAGTGAGAGAAGGTGTGCTCGAGTGGAGTGTGTCTGTCTGTCTGTCTGTAAGGAGGATGTTAACAGGCGTGTGTGTGGCTGTGTTCGGCGAGTGACTATCCTGTGGCTTTCTCCAGGCCTCACGGAGAGAGTTCAGGGCTCACCTGGATGAGGTCATCACGCTCAAGTCAAGGTACTCTACCTTGGACCAGGTAAACAGCAAACCTTCCTGCAGTCTACCAGCACCCAGATCACACCACCACCGCTGAGAGAACCGACGCATAAATTAGAAAAATTATAGCCGTTGCCCAAGCAACTCGATTCACGCTCTCATGCACTGGCCACCTCCGTTTCCTCCCCCCCAGTGCACAGCACACAGTGCTACAGTTCACGTTGCATTGTACCCGTCCCAGTGGGGGCATGGCCTTCTGGGGGGGGGGGGAAACAATCTCACTGGGAGCATGTGGAGCATGAACGGACTCCTCAGTACACCAAGCCATCAGATTTTCCTACTTCCTCTCCAGCTAGAACCTGGCTGGCACACTGTAGAGGGGGAGGGGAACCCCATTTCCTCATAGTCTAAGAAGGCCAGAACCCTGAAAAGAGACACTAAACCCAGGATGTGGCTCATAAACGCTGGTTTAAAGTTTGAAGCTGTCCTACGTGGCACATGGAGGCATCACAGCTGTGTCCCTTTGCCCTCAGGGCAGACAGCAGGAGACGTCGAAGGACGTTTCGTATCCTTCCGTTCGAGCACTGAAGAATGGCACAAGGACACTGCACAAGTCCCTCACGGTTAGCCATGCCCACCTTGCTCTCTGTCCTCACGTGGTCGAGCACAGCTTGCCTCACCCACACCTGTAGGGCCCGTGGTGGCCTGGAGCCCATAGGGCCGCCGCCTGGGGGGGTGGGCGGGACCTTTTCCCACCTCGCTCGTGCCTCACTGTCACCCGTCATTTCCTGTCCTCCGTATAACCGATACCTGCCACGTGTGAGAGTGCTCAGACGCAGGGGAAGCGGCGAGCTGAAGGTATGGTACCGTTGACGTGGGAGGGTCCCGCGGCCGGTTCTCTCCTTACATCCATCCGTTCATCCATTCATCATCCACTCATCCATCCATCCATCCGTCACCACAGTGATCTGTCTTATCGCTCGTTCTCTTCTGCTCCACCGTGTGCGCGCCTCTGTGTCTCGCCAAGCCGTGAATAACCAACGGAACGATTCCCTCAAAGCCTTCCCTTTCAGAGGAGGAGAGCAGCCGTGGACCGGGGCTCGTGATCCTCAGTAGACTTAGGCCACCTGCAGATTACTCAAAGACACTCGTACGTCGTTAGAGTAGCACCTAAGATCCAAATGCAAACGGCCACAAGTGTGAGAAATAATTTAATAAACGAAAAACTCATATACAGAAACGAAAAATGGTATCTTAACATAAATGTAAAACAGTAAAGACGCTGGCTTTGAGAAATGCTCACTAGTATGTCTGGTTAGGCTGAAAAGGCGATGCACAATTGCCGTCTCATTTAGCTACAATTAATCAAACGTCTGATGATAAAATGTAGCTGTTTGGCACAATCACTGGGGTTGAACGCATAAGTGCAGCTATGTGTAGCGCTATGTGGGAGGGCCAGGAACAGCTAACAGGACGTTGTTAGCGTTCTGATAAATGTCCACTTGTGATACAGATGTTGGTTTCATAATCAGCTCTGCCTGGTGGTTCCGAGTGCTTGGTAATGGAGTGCGACAGTGCCCGGTGTGGAAGAGGGAGCTCAGTCAACTGAGCAAGTCCGCAGTCCGAATAATAATAATAATAGTGGTGGTTCGTAAATCGCAGGTGCCGCTGTGCTCCTAACAGGTGTGCATCCTGCACGGTGTCGAGCCCTGAAAAGACACGCGGGCGTCGGCTAAAGTCAGAGAAGCTGAGCTTTGCCGAAAGATGCTAGGAGGGCAGTGACACTGCCGAAATGTTGGGTCTCGTGCCAGACTCGTTCGCTTTTGTTTGTTCTCCTCGCCGCCTGCTTCCGGGGTATTTAGGCTCTATTTGTGTTTCATTCATTTCTTGAAGGGGATTTAGCCTAATTTTTTTACCCAGCTGCTGCAGTGGTGCACTGGATCACTCCGGGCTTCGGCCCTTCGGTTTTCCTGCACTGTAATGTACTTCGGTCTGTTGTCCTCCCTGATGCCCTTTTTTGTAGGTTTGTCTGTACTATTTATCGGAATTTCTGGCACCGGTCATCTCCGGCGGCTGGATATCGAGCCTGTAGCATTCTCCTCGCGTCCATACCATGTCATTAGCGATTTCCCAATGAGGGGATCAGCGTCTCGTTGCCGGCCAGCCCTTGCGTCGCGGTCACCTTGGACGCGATCCCTTTGACAGCTCCTGAGCCCGCTCTGGGGACGGCCGCTGAATCCCGGGCACGGGGCCACTGTCCTGCGCGCATATTAAGTCTCCCGCTTGGGGTTGACCTGCCGCCTGCCGCCTGCTGTCTCCGAGCTGGTTCCCGTAGCGACGGAGCTGAGTGGTCATTGAGAAGGATCAGTTGGCCGGGTCTCAATCTCCAGCCTTCAGTGGGTTTGGTAGCGAGAGGGAAAATAGCGGGTAAAGCAGCGTGTACATTAAGAGTGGATGAAGGGCAGGTGACATCACAACCCTTTTTGGAGCCCTAAGGAAAGATTGATTAACCTAGTTGTCGTTTGTCATCAGGGGTGGGCAGTTTTATTCGCTGTAACTCCCTAATAAGGTCACTAATTAGAGGACTGATTGACTGAAGATTCCTTGCACCTGGGTTTGATCAGCTGACCCACTCTGACAGACTGATCAGATGGGGGGCCCCCTGCTGGCCACTGGGCCCTTAGCAGCTGTTTAGTTCATGTATGCCTTGGGCCAGCCCTGGGTGATGGATGCTGTCTTGTTCAGGGGTGTCCAGCTCCGGTCCTGGAGTGCTACTATCCAGGAGGTTTTTTACCCTTCCTGACTCCTGATCCGCCACTCCTGTTCCTGGCATTTACCTGACAATAGGTGTGGCTCATCTGGAGCCAGGTGGGGTAGAAGACCTTCCTGGATTATAGCTCTCCAGGACCGGAGTTGGAGACCCCTGATCTAGCTTCTCAGGCTTCCTCACCTCCTCGCTCTCTCTCTCTCTCTCTCCGCACCGAAAGCCCTCCCTCGTCTCCATGGTTATCTTTTAATTTAGCGCACTTGCCTATGCAAGGATTCACGTGGGTATGTGTCCCAAGCAGATAATAGAGGCATCCGGTCCGTTCTAGTTAACCGTCGGCCATCGTGTCACTAGAGGTCACTTTCTTGGTCGGGCCTGTAAAAAAATCACACCCGAGCGAACTTACGCAGAGCGATAATTTTCAAAGCCCCGCCAATTCGAAGAAAAAAAAAAAAAAAAGAAATGCTGTTTTTTAATCTTAAAACTGAAACGCAGGTTTATAGGAATGCTGAACGCCATCCATATCTCTCATGGTTTGCGCACGTCATTCCGACGTTTCATTCCCATGTCAGACATGCAGCGCTATTTCATTTTTCCACAAAGATGCATCCTGTTTTGTTCATCTTCAAAAGATTCTCTTAATTTTGGAAGTTAAGACGAATACCTGACCTGACCTGAAAATAAACAGCCCTGATCCTACTGATGTCCGTTGCCGACAACACCCCCCACCCCCCACCTTCCAGCTTTGTTTCTTTATTTCTTGTCCAAGAAGAACCATCCTAAGAAAAGACAAATTCCAAGATTTTGTTCTTTAAATATTGGCAGCTCTGACGATCTCTGTGATATGAAATTCAAATGCAAATGTTCACGAGAAGTTCATTTGCATCTCCGGTATTTCGGGTGCCGTGCATGTGCGCGTAAACAATATATATTTTTTATTGAGAAATGGTAAGTCCTTCCAAAGTTGTTCAACCTGGACATTTTCATAGCGAGTTCTAATGTACGTTTTTTGGTGTTCGTTATGCCCAAGTGGTGTCCCTTTTTATGTCACTTTCCTCCTTTTTATCTTCACCTCTCCTCCTCCTCCTCTTCTCCCTTTTACCCTCTCTAACTTAGGTGTCACATAGACATGACCTAAAAAACAAGGCTCTCTTTAGCCCTGAGAATGGACATGAAATTCTGGCTTCTTCTTCCCGCTGGGATCTTGTCTATTTTCCTTCGTAACACTTTGTCTTGCTTAGAATGGTTCACTGGTGATTTAAATTCATTTCTGTTTCCTCTGCCTTCCTCTGCTTTGTCTGTTCTAAACCTTTTGTTTTTGTCCATGCGTTAGCTCCACCATAGGTTGGAGGGGCTTAAAGATGATCGCAGGAGCCACCGGACCTTCGACTCGCGAGTAACTATTCCCTCCAAAGGAGCCGCTTCCATCCGCAAACTCCGCTCAGCCTCCCTCGTTCCTCTCTCTCACTCTCTTCTCTCTCGCACCACTCACCCTTTCCTCCGTAGCGATCTGTCTGTCCTTCTAACATTCTCTCCTCTTTTTACTAGCTGTGTGATGTGTTGGATCTCTTGTGGGTTTTTAGTTCTGTTCTTCAGCCTTAGTTTTCCTCAGTTCCTCTTTTTTTGGTCTTAATTTAATTCCATCTAGATGCAGTTTGTTTCTGATTTTTGCTTTTCTTCTGGGCTGTACCTCATCTCCACCCCATCCCCCAATCTAACCCCCCACCCTCCCCATCCCCTCTCTCTCAGTTTGGTTGGTTTTGGTGTCTGTGGCAGTGTTTTTCAGTTAATTAGATTTTTCTTTACATCTAAAACAGTGTATCAGATGACCGTGCTGGACTTTCGCCCATGTGTGTCGCTCCTTCTAGGCCAAGGACGTTGGTTCACAGAAGTCAGGGGTTCTGGGGTGGGGGGGGAGGGGGGGGCACTGGCCCTGACACTAGGCATTCCTTTGAGGAAAACTAATAAACAATTCCACTATACAGTTAAATTATTCAGTAAAGTAGAAATATGAAAAGAACTTGCTGTAAGTTTCACATTACCCCCGTCCCGCAATCAAGACAGACATTCTGCAGCATGAGGGACTGGGGGTTCGAATCCCACCCTTGTCAGAGAGGTGCACAGCGTCCAGATGTATCCAGCGATTATCGTAACGGAGAGACTTCCTTCACTGAAGTTTTGGCCTAAGGAGCATCATCTTTAACTATCATTCATGTTATGGCGATTGTTTTAATATCGTTTTCAATATTATCGTCACGACAGATATAATTTTATTGTAGAATCGTTATATTGTATTTATATTGTATATATTGCATTTGTAGTCAGTCACACCCATCACTGGTAGGAATGTTGGTATAGATCTTAAGGAATTGGAACCAATAGTTAGAATGTAGGTAAATGGACAAGGCGGGGAGTTGAGATAGGTGTCCCTGGGCCAGATAGGGTTTGGCGGGAGCAGTTAGTGCTCAGCCTGTCCTGAATAGAGTCTCATCGCTAGGCTGAGCCTTTCCCGCCTCCCTGGGGGGGGGGGTCTTAGGCAGTTGTCAGTTTTGCCCCCTGAGTGGAGCCCTTGACAACAATAATGATACTTAAGGCAGGGCAGTAATACAGCTTTGATTGACATTATCTCTTTCTTTTGCTGGTTTTTGCGACTATAATGAAGAATATCATGTTATTTGAGAAGGCAATAGTATGAATAACTTATAGGCAATTATGATAGGCGATTACCGCTCCCTTGGAAAGCGCTCGTCTTCGTCAGGGTTCGTGGTCATTTAGAGGAATATCGTAATCTCTGGCATTGGTTTTAAAATCATTTGTGGAGGACAGATTTCGGGGGGCTTCCCCTTGTGGTCTCATACCATCTATCTATCTCTATCTCCCCCCCAACCTTTCCCTGCTCCTCTCTCTTCCTCTTCAGGTGCAGTCTCGGTGCAGCAGTAAGGAGAACATCCTGAGAGCGAGTAGGTATTTCACACCCATGCATGTTAATAAACACGGATACTCCCTGTGCTGCTCACTTTGGTCTGTAAACTATGGCTGTTTGCCAGATTCTCCCCAAAGGGCCTGATTGTGTCTGCATTTAAGGGTGGGATCTTATGGCATTATGATGTCACAGTGCATAGGAATTAGCAGTGGATTCATGGCAAGTTCCTCCATGGCCTCGGGTAGATCAGTAGACATCAGCTGGTAGATAATTGCTGTCAGTTGCCCAGTGCTCACATGATGCATCTGTTACCTTTTAGTTCATTAGGGAACCATTTGTATTGCAAAATCTGCAATACAATTATTACAAATAGCAATAATTGCTTATGTAGCTGTTGTTATAGATGTTGTTAGTCATATACAGTATATTGTTTACAGCATGTAATAATAACATGCATAACTTCCAATTATTTTAAACAGTTTTGAAATATTACAATATATATTTATACCCTTTCATGTTATCCACATTGAGAACATGTTCTACATATATATGTGCATCAGCTTTGTTAAATAAATGTCCCTCATTTGGATGTCTCGTTTACAGATAGTCAGCTTGCAACTACAAAATACCAAAGAAAACAAAAAAAAGAATGAAACTGAAAATTCAGTGCTTTCATTCACCCATTAAACTATGCATAAATAAATGAATAATAGATGTAATAAAAGATACATTGCACGATATGAGGATTTCCAGGGCTATTTTCTGTTAAAAGCTTGATGGATAGTTCTCATTTTCCAAAAGCTGGCAATAAAATCCAAGAAATTTTGATCTCGAACGTGCATCCCCTTTGTTAAATGGTGCGACGCTGCCATCTGTTGGTGAGGAAGATACCAGCACGTGCTACTCTTAGTTTTAAGGTACCCCTGAAAGACCAATCTTTATATTCTATCTGTGATCTGTATCATTCATTTAATTATGCATTGTGCATTATCAGACATCTGCTGGGTAATGATTAGTGGGTTTCTCTTTGAGAATTGTTCCCCAGTGCCATGTAAGTCTTACAATAGAGTAAAAAAAAAAAACACAGGAGATAATGGAAAATGAAATGTAACTGGTATAAATATCAGCTTTATTAAGGCATTGGGAGTGCATCACATTCAGGCAATACCATGTAATGTTTATCTGTTTTGCTCCAAGGTATGAAAATTATAGACACAAGTTACCTCTCCGGTGCAGGACACATTAAACAGGCATTCATAACTTAATATGTTAGTATGTTTCGATGTAGGTGATGCATTTGAATTGGGATTTATGATGTGAGAATGGTTCAGACCAGTGTTTCCCATCCCTCAGGGACCCCATAGACCTGGGGATCTGTTTTTGCTCTCAATATTGTGGACTCTCCGGGAGGGAGCAAAAATGTGGACTGGCTGGGGTTCATGGAGCTGGGAGGGAGCAAAAATGTGGACTGGCTGGGGGTCCCGGTGGGTCGGGTTGTGAGACACTGGCTTAGACGCGTCAGGGTGTGTGGCTGACCATGTTGGAGTGTGTGACTGTGACGCTCGAGCTGCCCCCAACCAGCCTGTCCCCGGCTTGCCAGGTCACAGCGCAGTGGACATCACCAAAGTGGCCCGGAGACACCGCATGTCTCCCTTTCCCCTGACCTCCATGGACAAGGCCTTCATCACTGTGCTGGAAATGACGCCCGTCCTGGGCACGGAGATCATTAACTACAGAGGTGAGAGCATGCCTGGACCGTCCGCCCCCCCTCATGCTCCAGGGACACTTTTTGTCATCTTAAATGCTCACCCCTGGCCTCCTGGCATGGATATCTTTTTGTTCTGTTACCGATACCATTATTCATATGGATTGCTACCTCCCCAAGGCCAACCTGAGCCATGACCATGGCCTCCCCCCATATCCTGACTTGGTTTCTCCCGCTGGCTCTCATGTTGTCCATCAGCCAATGTTTTCCCTGGGTGATATTTTTTTTTATTATTATTATGCCAATCAGGTTATACGCAGTAACACTCACCAATCATGTGCCCAAATATTGCTGATGAGCAGTAGGCAGACATGCCATTTATTTAGCAGATGCTCTTATCCAAAAAAGCAGCGTCAGATGATCCCTGGAACAACCGGGAGGGTTAGGGGCTTTGCTGAAGGACCCGGCGATGAAATTATTCTCTCGACCTTGGGACATGAACCGGCGACCTTCTGACCATAGGCACTGCGCTCAAACCCACTGAGCCACACATTTCTGCACACATTGTATTTTTATATTTTGAAGGACAGTGGATAAGCTGTGTTTTGTATAGAAGTCAAGCTGACTTCCAGTTTGAGCTGTATGCATGTGTGTTCCGCAGTGCGTACATCATTCACTGTGCAGACAGGACAGCAGAGAGCGGTTAATAGGGTTAAAGTTCCAGCTGTGTTGTGCAGTGCCGCATTCCATCCGGTGTTTTGTTGACTGTGGGCTTTGAGACGTCCTCACATTTATCCACAGCAAGCTAAAGGCCCCTTCTGGTCACGTTTCTAATGCGTCACGTCTTACGCAAGCAGACGTTCACGTTATATTCCGACAAAGTCACCTACAGTACCAATAAGGATTACGATTTATGCGTGCCCCTTGGGATTTGAACCCGCAACCTTTGTGTTGTTAGTGTAATGCTTTACTTGTTGAGGTAAGGGTATGTTTTGCTGCAACTCCTGTGTTTTTTTTTTGTTTTTTTTTTTGGGGGGGGGGCAGTAGGGAGAGTTTCTCATGAAGGGAATTCCTCATGAAGTGCTTGATCTACAGTCAGAAAGCCATTTGAGCTGGTGACCCTGCACGCACAACGCTTAGGCTTCTGTGGGTCCTGAGTTGCATGAACTCATTGGAAGAGCTTCCGCTTTCTTTTCCGCTTCCTGAACAAGGGCCGAGAAGATAATTGGCGCTAATTCCTCCCCAGTGCACTGGCAATCAAACAGGTCAGTGCCTCCCCAGTCGCCTGCGTGATGGGGGGTGTTGGGGCATGGAGCCTGGCTGTGTACCCGGGCGGCGTACCCGGGCGGCGTCCAGCGTATGTCCCTCTCTTCATCTTTCCTTATTGCAGCCCATTTGGGGCCATCACAGCTCTGAGGACAATGCAGAGCTGCTGCTTTTGCACAAAACTATGGCTACATCCTTCGTTGCAGTTTGCCGAGCCCCATTCTGAAGGCAGGAGTGACTGGCTCCCAGCATGTAACTCTGCCTGGGATGCGGTATTTCACCCAGAAAATGGGGGGTGACACATGTAATCTCATCTCTAGTCAGCTTCCCCCATTCCTTGACATTTCCTGAAGTGGTGATGTGTACAGGAAGAAAGGATGTGGAATGGGTGCAGGGTGCAGAAGAAATCTGAATAAAAACAAAAAATAATCGGCCAGTTTGGATATATTGTTTATGTGTCGGAATACCTTTGTGTTAGGAGTGAGTCAGTTTGCTAGGGACACACTGTCCAACCCCATCGCGCTTTCCGAGGAGTTGGACACAACGTGCGCTCCTGTCCAATCACGGATCTGTCACCTCTACAGCTCAGCCGAGTCACAGCACAATAGGCGATACTTCTGACATAGCGCGATAATGCGTGATAACTGTGGGACTGAGGAGAGGCGAGACGGGCCGTGGAGAGCGTCTCTGTGTTGCAGGCGTCTCCGAGTTCCCGGGTCCATTGCTCCGAGCTTTAAGGTGTCTTCCGCCCGTCTTTGATTTGCTTTATTTGCAGAGCCTCTGAGAGGCTCACGCCGGGTTTGGCAGCTGCGCAGACGAGCGTGCGTGCGGTGCTGCCGCGCTCAATAGCACTGCGGAGGGCCGCACTCGCCGTCGCTTAGCTTTCAGAGACGGGCGTGCTCGCGGCATCTCGGAGCAGCTGGGTCACTCCACAGCGTACCCTGATGCATACACAAGTCCATGACAGGTGCGGAGAAGAACACTGTCCAAGTACAACAGCCTACATAAAGTAGCAGAGAGGTGTCACTCCAGACGGCTGTCATTTGAGGTTCTCCGGTGGTGAAATGAGCTGCTGAACCACATCTGGTCATCAGACTCCCTCTCTACCTTCAGGAAAAGCCAGAAGACCGGTCTGTTCCAGGAATTTCTCTACTAGCCTGATGCTGCTTTGTAATCCCTGAATATTCTGATATTGCACTTCTGGTCCTTGAATTGTCTTACGAAGTTCTTTCTGTTTTGGAAAATGTTCTGTAGCTCCTGCTCCAATACCACTTACACTTGGACCTGGGCGTTCATTCAAACTCAGCCTAGCTGCACGTATGCCTAGTGTTCTCTCTGACAGCCGTGTGTTTGCAATGTGCTTATGTCGCTTTGGACTGAAGCTTCTGCTAAATAGGTGAAATGTAAACATAAGATAGAAAAGCTCAGCTTGTGAATGAGGGATGCCTGATGTACTGGATTTACTGATGAACATGCTTGTCTGCAATGTCGTTTGCGTGGACTGAGACTGTGTGGAAACGGCTTTCAGCCCAGTCTGCTGTACAGCACCGGCGATGGAAAAAGCACAGGGGAAAGTATTAAGCCATATGTTGTTTTATGACTTAAACGGACTTTGATGTTGGGGGACAGAACTTAATTAATAATGATTGGTACTGATTGAAATACAAGGGTCTATTTATTGGGGGACTAATGGAGCCATAATTGGAGGTAAATGCCCCCCCCCCCCGCCGGTTTCTGTACCTCTGAGGGAGAGGTATTATAGGTGGCGAGGTGCCTCACCTTACACCTTCATGGCTGGAGGTTCGAATCCTGTCCCTGCTGGGGGTGCAGAGTCTGCATGTTCTCCGCATGCCAGGTGCATTTTGTCTGGGTTTCTACAGACGAAAAACTTGCAAAAAAAAGCATGAGGGATCTCTGTTATGTGCAAGGGCAGCAGTGACCAGGTGCTGATGAGGAAATCCCTTTGCGCCGGCAGCA